TATGCCATAAAATCGCATTAATTCTAAGGATCACAAATCATTAATCAATTTCAGATTCGGCCATCGATAAGGCCTTCAATTTGTAATTTAAACACAAAGGCATGAACAGATAATCAAACAGTCAACAGATAGACATACAATTGAACAGATATACTTAATCAATTCAGTTCCAGATTTTTGGTCAGTCTTGATGCCCCCATTGACGGAAGCTCGTATCCCGATGATGAGGCCTGCCGGTACGTCATCCTCGGGTCAGGCTCAGGCTCGAGCTACAGACATCCCTTCTTCTAGCAGGGCTGGCGCATCTAGAGGTGGAGTAGACCGTTTCCTCCGACTCCGTCGATTCATCCTCATGTCGGATGGCCAGATATGCCTACTGAGTTGATGGCGTGCAGTACGGGGCTAGCTCTCCGACTCTGATTCCACTAGAGCCTCCGATGCCCAGTGATCGATACGCCATTGATCCGGACTCACCGCCGGTATGCTCCACTTTTGTCATTCATCATTTCAGATGTTTAGACACTCATTTGTTCACTGATGATTACGAACTCATTTTTGCAGCCATCGCGAGGGTACATAGAGGAGGTGGTTGGGCTGGTAGCCACACTCGAGGGCATGGTCTTGCGCAGGGAGGCACAGTTGTCTGTCGCGGGCATTCAGGTACCCTTCAGTTTTCTGGCATTTATCATACTTCTGATGACATGCTGATTTCTACTGCATCGATAGACTATTTGTGTAGAGCACATCTGACACATACCCCTCTTGTACACTGTATTTACATGCATTCACTTCATGTAGCCTTTGCTTGTATCTGCATCTGATGTATATATTTGAACTGATGTATTTGAATTGAATTCTTTGCTTTCAGATGCCTTCCTGGTCCGGTCAGCCGCAGACCAGGCCATCCGGGCCTCATTAGGGAGCTGGGCCATCTGGGCCTTTTCAGGGGGCGGGGTCGTCTCGGCCTTCCCGAGGAGCCGGGCCATCTAGGCCTTATCGAGGAGCTCGAGGAGGGCCTATCCGCAGACGCAGGGCTCACGTTGTGGAAGTGGAGCCTGATGAGGAGGAGGAGGAGGCTACCGACCGTCAGTTCGAGACATCTGTTGAGGAGGGAGGCTCTGGTTTTGGCTCGGGGAACAGAGGCGAGGCTGAGGAGGATCCTGAGGATGACGGCTCCGACTCAGATGATGGTGTGGAGGTCGTCCCGCAAAAGAGGACGAGGCGTGCTTCTCGTTCCCGCTCCCGAGGACTTTGATGTTGTTATTTCCTGCTTTATTTTTCTTTTTGCTAGTAGTTTGTAGCACTTTGCACATTGTTAGGCAGTTTTATTTTTGTAAAACTTGTACCTTTGTTTGTTGTAAAGCATGATGAAATGAAATAGCTTTTGAAAAGGTGTTTGTATTTTTAGCATCGTATCGCATCAATTTATTTTGCACAAAAATAAAATTGAATAGAAATGTGCATTGTGTAATCACCCAGTCAGGTAGTGAACCGACGCAACAAACTAAGCAACTCATCTTACTAAGATATAACAAAACCTTTAGCAAGTTTACAACTCGATAAGCAAAAACAACAGTGCTGATAACGTAAATAAATAAGACTCAAACAAAGATTGTTTAAACAGAGAGCAATGACTCGAAAATACGAAACACGTTCGCTCGACAAACAACTCGATAAGCAAAACAACAACTCGATAATCAAAACTCAGCAACAACAGAGTGTACTTCGAACGATCTGGGCACCGGAACGTATCCTAAACAGAGGGAAATAAAGGCCTTTGACTCTCCCGTTGCACGGGAATGCTTGAAACTTTCCCTCGAAGGGTAAAACAGGGCCAAGGAGGTACACCGGAGCATTGCCGGCCATCTTTGGGAGCCGGCCGGCCAATTTTGTGGAGAGAGGGAGCCGGTCGGCCAGTTTTGTAAAAAGTAAATGGCCGGCCAGCCAGAAAAGGTGGCCGGCCGGCCACTTATTCCTGCAGCCACCTGGTTTTTGACACGTGTCCCCGTGAATAGTGTTTTTCCCTCTATAAAAGCCTCAACTTCGGGAACATTCATTTCATCTTAGTTTTAGGCAAAGATGGAGGCATTTCTCGCGGAAAATATCACATCTTGGATCTCTTCTCTAGATGGCTCGGAAAAGCTAAACTTCCGGGGTTTCGGCTTGAATGCACTATTCACGCTGAGCCGTACTCCGCTACAGCTCCCTTTTCTCCATGCCGCGGCAAGGTTCTGGAACCCAGTGACGCACGTTTTAGCTTCGGCGGACAAGAGATATGTCCCACTTTCGAAGATTTTCAGGTTTTGATGGAGTCTGAATGTTCTGAAGTGATCTTGCCCCAACTCCGTTTTGGCCATGCCCAGGCTTTAGGGCGGATGTGTGGGCTCACGGCGCATGATGCTCGATCTCTGATCTGCAGTGGGGAACTGGACATCCTCGGCTTGATCTATCGTTTTTCCCACGCCGGTGACCGCAACAACCATTATTGGCAGGGTTTCCGGTAACACGCCCTCTGCTTGTGTTTGTTGTCTCACTTTCTGCTTTCCTCGGGCTTCGGCGAAGCTAGCATTCGCCTGATTGAAGTTGCCCAAAGCTTGAGAGAGGTCTCACTTTCTGCTTTCCTCGGGCTTTGGCGGGGCCAGCATTCGCCTGATTGAAGTCGCCGAAGGTTTGAGAGAAGGAAAGAGCTGTATTGCCATGACCCTGGCCGAGACATTGATGGGTTTAGATTCTGTCTATCGCCGGGAGGCGACTAGGTTCGCCGGGAGTCCACTGCTGCTGCAGGTAATGTTTCCCACCCGATCTCACATATATATATTTGCTCACATCACTCGGCCCTCAGGCTCGGTTTTTTTCTCACAAAACCCTTGTCTTACTTTTCTCTCATCGTACATCTCTCTGTTCTTTATTCTCTCATTTTCCATCCCTCCCCAGATATGGTTAATGGATAAGTTGCAGGTTATGGACTCCTGCCCGGCCTATTCAGCTCGAGGCTACTTCTTTCGGCAACGCCTAGTCAATGCTCTTGATAAGGGATGGTGGTTCGATTGGATGTGCAGCTCGCCTGCGGGCCGTATTGCATGGCGGTGCCCTTTGCTCAACCTACCGGCAGACCGGGATTCAGTTGATTGGCTTAACCCACTGTGTGTTCTACTTCCCATTCTGGTTCCAGCGCCAGTTCGGCTATGATCAGATTTGCCCGCCAGAGGGGATAGAGTACCCAGCTGCATTTCCGGTCCGAGGCACACAACTTGCTCGATATGCCACGGCATGGGGAACCAGAGAGCTCCTGGCCCCCGCTCCCACTTTCAGTTGCACTTTGTCTGATGAGTGCATAGATTGGCTCAATGAAGAGGCACAGATTGGGCCCAGCATGGTATCAGAGGCTTCGACTAGCTCTGGGAGGGGGCGCAGGAATACCTGACTTATCTATGCCCCGAATTTATTGCTTTATTAGTACTTTCAAGTTTTCTTTATGAATGTAATAAAAAGCAACTTCAATTTGTATGCAAGAGCAGGAGAACTCTGTATTGAAATCAAT